CATACTCAGCAGAGACTTGACAACCTGCCAAGTTTCACTGATACCTTGTAGAATTTCTGAGAAAATGTTGGAGATGGAAAACCGACAAAACCTGAACTGCGCCTACGCCTGAACAGGGGACTAATAAACAAGCCATGCATGGCACAGTCCCTGTTAGTTATCAAATTTAAGATATATAGTTGTCCATATTGAGAAATATTGCTCTGGAACAGCATTCAAAATCAGCCATTTTGAATACATGTATATATATAACATGATGTATAACAAATATATAAAAGTTGAATATAATCAGTCAAAGCATTTAAAAGATATGGCTCCAGAAGCCCAATCAATAAAACAAAATGGCCGCCAGTCAGCCATTATGAATCCAATCTGAAAAATAAAATGACGTGCATCAGGAACCCCTAATGTCTAATGTATGTTATAAGTTTGAACAAAAACCCATCCATAAATGCAAGAAATGCTTGATATTTGAGGATTTTTTTAGCAGACATATGGGTCTAGAAGCCCATTCATTAAAACAAAATGGCCACCAGTTGGCCATTTTAAATGTTATCTGAAAAACAAAAATGATTTGCATCAAGGTCCTATAATGTCCAACGTATATACAAGGTTTGAACAAAATCCATCTGTAAACAGCCGGGAAATGCTTGATTTTGATGATTTTTTAGCACAAAAATGGCCACCATTCGGCCATTTTTAATAGGATCCTGAAACAAATTGACGAACATATGTATAATATCATGTATGATGTATGTGTGAAGTTTGATTGTGATTAGTCCAGGCATTTCTAAGATACAGGTCCGGACGGACGCACGCACGGACACACGGAGGTCAAAACATAATTCCCCGTTTTCGGACTGCGTCCGAACGGGGACTAAAAAGTACTGGAATACATGCGAGACAAATAAGTTTAAAATATTGATTTGCACAAACAGCAATCACTCTTTGTTTTGATAAAATTATTTATATAAACTGACCATCCATATTTTATTATTATTTAAAGGACAACATATATTTATATAACGGGGTAAGAGTGCAAAGTGTACATACCTTTAGAGAAGTCACACTTGCAAACACTAGATTGGTTAATGATTCAGCTACAGACATTCTGGCACCACATCCTGAGTCAACAAGGCCTTTAATTGGCTGTTCACCAATGGATGTAGCAGACCCAACAATGTCAAAATGTGAGAGTGCTGTCACGGCAACATCACCTAATGGTGTATGTAATGGTCCAACACATTGCTGCTGTGCAATCAGTCCTGTAACTGACCTGTCAACCTAAAAACATTAAACATTACACCAATAAGCATCTCAGATATATGGTTTAGAAACAGCATTCATTGAAACAAACTGGCTACCAGTCTTACTTTGGTTCTAAAAAAGAAATCACGAAATGTTGAAAAATTACAGTTAATCAAAAAAAAATCAAAAAAATATTCAGTATATTTTAATATACTGAAAAAAATTACATTTAAAAATGTAATATGCATTTATTTTTACTTCTAAAAGAAGTTTCAAATAAAAACAAACACGAATGCATTAGTAGCAAGTGATCACGGTACAATAGCGCAATATGGTCATGCTGCGTTTCACAAGTGAATAACTTACTTGTTTTCGAACTGTTGCAATTGTTGATCATTACTCAGTAGTGATTATAACTTACATTTACAAAATAATTTTGTTGAATTGTTATGAAAGGCAAGTAAAAAAAACATAAGCAAATGATTCTGGTCACAAGTGATACAATATCTGCCACATTTTTTAAAACACAAGTTGACTTGAAACTGTGTTTGCTAATTAACCAAAATCAAAATGCTGGATTGTACCAATGTGTTCAAATCACCATAGCTCATTTAAATATGTTAATGTGATTGAACTCAACACGGAAGAGATTTACAGATGTTGTAGTATGATCCTTTGGCTTGGATTTCAAGGGAAAATGTCATGATTTTGTTTTAATCCAGAAATTAGTTGTTTACGAACAGAGCATTGAAGAAGAATTTTAAATTAACACTTTTTACGGTGATAACAGCTCATTGTCGAAACGAAGTTTATCCATTCATGTTTAGCCAATAATAAACATTGTGCTCTAG